TGGGGCTGCCGTCTGCGTCCCAGTACTGCACCACGAAGGAGTCGAAGGGGCCCCTGGCCACCGTCCATGCGAGGTGCAGGGAGTCCGGGGTGCTGTCGGTCACGGCCAGCTCCCCCAGGCGGGGCCCTCCGGGGGTGTCGGGGGCCCCTGTGGCAACTTGCCAGGGGGCGGGTGTGTCCTCTTCTGGGGCTGGGGGAGAAGCCCGGGGAGAAGCTGAGGGTGTATCTGCATGTCTGTGCACATGTGCGTGCATGTCTATGCGTGTGTATGTGCATGTGTGCATGTGCATGTGCACACAGCAGGCCCTCCCGACTCCATCGGCTCCTGAGTGGCCCAAGGCTGAGGTGGGGACCTGGCCCTGGAAGCCAGTTGGGGAGAAGGGAGGGACTGAGGCCCTTCTAGCATCTTTTTCTCTTGAATCGGCCACATCCCTGCGCTGGCCGAGGCCTGCCACCCTGGGTCTCCCCGGGCACCAACACTGTGGCCACGACTGCTCTGTGGGCTCCGTTACCAGGTCTGAACTGGAGCTGCCAACCTTCTCCCCCCGTGTCTCCCCCGCCCCCACTCCGTGCTGAAGGCCTGGGGATGGAGGTGGCTGGTGAAGAAGGGGCAAGCCTGGGGGCTGCTGCTGCTCAGGGGGGCTACGGGCAGAGGGGCAATTCTTAGAGCTGCCTACACCTCCGTCCTGGCAACTTCCGGGGCCTGAGGGTCTGGGAAAGGGTCCCTGAAGTGTGGCTCCAAGGACAGCGCCTGAGGGGACAGACCGGCTACAGGAGGCAGGCCCAGACTCCTGCCCGCCCTCGCCGCTGTGGGCGGGTGCGGACGTGCATAACAGAGCACCTGGTGAGGGGGGTGGGGGGCTGCTGAGAAGGCCTTGCTTTCCCCTGCCCCCCAGGCCCCTGGCACAGAGGTGGCCAGAGCTGAGACGAGTTCCAAGCTCACGGCTGCCACCGCCCGGCCTGACCAGTGCCTTGCTCTCTATCGGCCTGGCCTCCTCCCACCCTCTTCCCAGTCCCTGCAAGAAGCCCTGGCCTCAGGGCGGTGAGGAGGGGCGGGAAGAGCCGGGGCAGAGCCGGGACACCCGCTGCAGTGGGTGCGGACGGGGCTGGCGGAGAAGTCTGTCTCCAGTCCCCTCGTGAGTGTCCAACGAAGAGAATTATGGAGCCCGAGGGCCCCTGGCCATGCGCCCCACCCTTGTCTGTGGCTCGTGGTCCTGGGAGTGGGAGAGGGTCCGAGACCCCCTCCGCCCTCCCTGTGACACCAGACGCCCCCCATGTGGATGTTTACTGAGCTCCAGGAGCGTATTCGTAACCACTATGCAGGTGTGGGGACAGCGTCGGGGGGATGGCTTGCCATGGCCACACACTGGCCACTGGGATCTGCACGCAGGTCGGCTGGGCCCGCAGGCTGGGCCCTTACGGCATCGCCAGCAGGGACTGGCGCGACGTGTGCAGTGCTCAGAGCAGGCCGGGCAGGGCCGGGGCGGCGGGTTGGCTTTGGGTGCTGGGACTGCCGGCCTGGGCCAGCTCTGGGAAAGGTGGGAGCGGGGCGGGGCTCACCTGTGGTGCCCTCAGGGGGGACGGGGCCCAGCTGCCTCCCGCCTGCCAGCCCATAGAGCAGGAACCTGTACTTCCGGTGGGGCTCCAGGCCGCCGACGGTGGCCTCGCGCTGGTCTGCGGCCACGGGCACCACCCGGGACTGCCCGTGTCTGTCCTTGTACTGGACCTTGAAGGAGTCGAACTTGCCCTGGGGGACTGTCCACGCGAGGCCCACGGAGTCCGGGGTCACGCCGGTCACTGTCAGCTCCCCCAGGCGCGGAGGTTGTGTGTCTGGGACTGGAAAGGAGAGAGAGGCGCATGGAGAAAGACAGGAAAGGTGACAGAGCAGAGCTTCCTCGGGGCCACGTGTCAGGAAGGGGAAGCAGAGGAGAGACAAGAGAGCAGCCGGGAAGCCCAGCCGCCATGCACCCGAAGGTCACCGGTTCAATTCCATCAGGGCACACGCCCCGGGCTGCGGGCTCCATCCCCAGTGCGGGGCGCGCAGGAGGCAGCCCGTTGATGTTTCTCTCTCATTGTTGATGTTTCTCTCTCTCTCTCCCTCCCCTTCCTCTCTTTCTAAAATCAATAAAAACACTGGGGATGGAGCCTGCAACCTCGGGCATGTGCCTGACCAGAATCAAACCTGGGACCATTCAGTCCTCAGACCGATGCTCTATCCACTGAGCCAAACCAGTTAGGGCTCTCATGTGGGGAGCTTATATTTTAAAAAAAGGAGCCAGGGAAGAAGCGGGTGTCCCTTGGGATAAGAGGTCGGGGAGAGGGACGGGGTGACGGCGGGGAGAGCACAGGACTGGGTCTCACCGACCTGGTGAATACATGGGTCTGAGGCCCCAAGGTCTGGAGCAGTGATGGCGAACCTATGCCTCTGACACATGAACTCATTTTTTTGGTTGATTTTTCTTTGTTAAATGGCATTTAAATATATAAAATAAATACCAAAAATATAAGTCTTTGCTTTACTACGGTTGCAAATATCAAAAAATTTCTATGTGTGACACGGCACCAGAGTTAAGTTAGGGTTTTTCAAAATGCTGACACGCCGAGCTCAGAAGGTTCGCCATCACTGGTCTGGAGGGTGGCGCACAGAACATGACCTTCCCACGGTTGCCACAGGGGGGGCGAAGGTGGCCTTTGGCCGCACTCACGGGTCTTGGCGTCCGCAGAGAGTGGGCCATGCCGTTTCGCACCCTGCACTCCAAAGAGTAGGAATTTGTACTTGCGGGCAGGGGCCAGGCCGGAGACGGTGACCTCCCGGAGGTCTCCACCCACGGGCACTGCCTGGGGCTGCCCCTGCTCGTCCCTGTACTGGACCAGGAAGGAGTCGAAAGGGCCCTGGGCCACCGTCCAGGACAGGAGCACGGAGTCTGAGGTCACGGCGGCCACAGCTAGCTCCTCCAGGCGGGGTGCCACCGGGGGCTCCGAGGGCAGGGTGGCTGCAACAGAGCAGAAGAGGCTCAGGGTTCAATGGCTTGAGAGGGTCCTTTCTGCCTACGAAACAAACATTGGGGCAAACTGCTCTCAGGTGAGCACGGGGCCCAGGACAGGGGCAGGTGCTGCTACCCCGCAGCCGCACTGTGGGGAGAGCGGCAGAGGGAGCAATCAGCGTGAGAAAGGGCCCGCGCGTGCCTTCAGGGCAGGAGCAGGACCCAGGCGCAGACGCAGATGGCCTAACTCCACCCACCGGGGAGCCACCCCAGGGCCCAGCCAGGGGCCTGGGGAGGCCGCACAGCAACACAGCAGCACCCACAGGCTCCCATCCAAAGCTACTGGATAAGGCCGGGGTCCTGGACACTGACCGGCTGAACACAGTCTCACCATCCTCACACATTGGAAGAAGGAGAGAGCCCGGCCCTGTGTGAGGAGTGCGGGCCACTGAGAGGAACAGAGTGAACTGCGTCCCACCCCACTCACCGGTCAGGCCAAGGGTGGACGCGGGGCCCACGCGCCGCCCCCCG